CATTGATAATATTTGAAATCAAAGACTGTTATTTTTACATTTTTAATTTTTATGTCTTCTGAATTTGAATATACTATTTATCTATCTATATTTATTTATTTATCATCGGCTTCTGCCTGACGAAAAGCCTTACTCCGGATCCCTTGTCTATCTAGTCTTAGATTAAAACTTACTAATCGATGCATTATAGAATGCAGCACGTTATACATTATTTTTAGTGTTAGTTTAAAGTTTAAATCTACGATAAAATAAGCTTAATGGGCAGTCGTTTGAAAACCTTTTTATTTTAATATGACAACAGATCCTTTTCAAACATTCTTATTTCATTTGTTTGTATTCATTTCAGCACTAATTTTAGCTGTACTCACCAAAGTGGCTGTTTGACTAACTGCTACGAGAGACAGCAGTACCAATGTCGAGCACTACTACATGCTGTTCGTCGAGTCTACACTAGTCAATCCCCCTCTAGCTTCCTTACATCAGTCGAACAGCAAACGCGCACTCTGGCTACTCAGATAGATGATGCAGCAGCTGCCGAATCTATCGCTGCAATCCAGGCACAAAGTATCCAAGCGAATAGGGTAGAAGACAATAAGTCTGGTGAGGAGGACGAGGAAGTGGATAATGAATACGATGAAGAAGCTGAAGAGGAGTTAGAAGTGGAGGAGGAAGAGGAGAAGCAGGCAGAAATAGAAGAGCGAGGACTAGTATATAGTAACAAAGAAGCATTGGAAGTTGAGTTTAATTATGGAAGTACTGGAAAAGATTATGAGCTGACGCCCCCCAGGTCTAGAAAGATCGACCACGTGAGACATGTCCCGCTTCATGATGATTACCGATCTGCTGATGATCAAAGCAGGTTAGGTCGATGTCTTACTAGGGACTTCAAGCCAGAGGATGCTTCGCAATGTACATCTGGGTTAGTGAAGCCTGCCTCAGAACTGACCGGTCTGATTGCAGAGGCGAAAACTTCTGTTAAGACCATTTCAGTATCAAATAGGTCTTCTGGATGTCATGGTGATATTTTGTTACCAGTCGAGCATAATTCTGCAGACTTTGAATATCTTTCACACATTCTCCCGCCTATGCTACGGTCTCGTCAGTCTCGTCAATTCCAAGTGGCTCAGTTACCAGCTCATTCAGTCCGAAACTCAAATACAGCCAACTCCGTGCTGACTACGGAATTAGAGTTACAGCGTGCTCATATCGCCCGTCTTTTGGGGCCTAGTGCAGTAACTATGGGCGAGGCTGAATTAGATATGACAGCGCTATTATTGCAGCGCATGTCAGCTGCTTACCTAACTGAACAAGCCAGACGAAATGCAAGAAAGAAGTCTTTCTTCGCTAAGGCACTTCGTAAAAAGGTAAGTCACCTTAAATTAAGGTAAGGTGACAAAATATTTATTATGGAAACTAATTAAAATTGTACTAAATAATTATTTTTCATTAAACTTTAAAA